GGACAAAAACACTGAAAACAGACAAGAAAAAATGCGACAGTCACTGAACATTCAAAACAGAAGTAAAGAGTTGAAGACAGTGTAAATGAGCAGTAACATGAATAGATACATTTGATGCTAAACTGCATGACCCTGTACCTGTGTACAGTATGTCATTTGGCTACATGGGCTAGCTAATTGCCTTATTTCTGAATACAAATATTAAATCAGCATTAGCCATGATTAGATGTAACTTGATCCCCTGTTCAGCTTTTTTTTAGCAAAGTGTCTTTCGCTGTGAACCAGCCTCACCCATTTTTATACAGCTGGCATTGCATCGGTACCATTCAAAGCATATGCCAATAATGCATCCCTCTTTTTTTCCTAAGTTAGGAAGAGGATAATGATTTGTCACAATTAAGTCCTCCAAACACAATACATGCTATGCACTTACATTTACATGGTTGTTAAGCGCAATCTTTACTCTCGCACAAATTTATATTAAGTTGTATTGTTTTGCTTGAAACCTTTCCGTCTTAAAATGTACAGTCTACATTATGTCTCTGGCCTTTTAAGTCAAAATGTGTGAAAAATTTGTTAGTGTTACTGCTATTTCGGTGGAATTTTTTTTTTTCAGGTGTCAGTGATTTCTGATTGAACAGGAAATAGAAGAAAAAAACCTACTCCCAATACCACCATGACTCATGTCTGACAGTTGGAAGGTTTTTAAATCCCCTTACCACTGGAAGCAAGTGTTGTTGCTGCACTGCTTTCTTCATTTTAAAGTCAACTTTAATCAAGCATGATCATACAGAATCTTGTCACCTTGGACACGTTTGTCATATTTCTATTGGAACAGTTAACACTTGTGTATTTGCCGAGTAGACATATTGTGATATCAGTTTGATCTGACGGATTTTTTACGGTGATCATATTAATTTCCAGACACGGCTATCAAGTACATGACCGATGGCTGCCTGCTCAGGGAATTTCTTGAAGACAAGGAGCTAAGTCGATACAGTGTCATCGTTCTGGACGAGGCTCGTGAACGCAGCTTGGACACGGTATGAAACCAAGTTTTTCTACACCTTGCTTTTGTATCATTCAAGTTTTATAATCTGTCTAAACTCATGAAGATCATATCAAAGAAGGTTGCTGATTCTATTTTGTGTATTCAAAAGATAAAGAGTTAGAAACCTACAAACATTCAAACAAAAAAGAACAATGAAAGTATTTCCAAGGATGGATTGCGCCGCGAGGATGTTAACTAAGACGTCTGCATTAGTTAGCAGGAAGTCATGGGTTCAAGTCCCATTCGAGTACGCTTGTGGTTTTTTTCACAAGCCTTCGGGGGCAAACACTGAGTATACAATGTTTTAATACACGTTGGGCAAGGGCAAAAATCCCAAATTAATTAACAATGAAAAGATTTTTATCATGGTCTGTCCACAGGACATCCTATTTGGCTTGGTCAAGCAACTCTTCCTAAATTCTCAATCCCCATCCAC